TCGTTGAAACGAGATATGACATAAGCCACTAATATGAATACAATAGTCAAAATAATGCACATTATGAATAACGTTTTCTTGCTCAGCACTAACATTGATAGTGCTATTCTTTGAACAGTAAGGATGGTCAGTCTAATCTTTGTTAACAGAAGATCGTTTTCGAAGAAGAATTGATTCAAACTCACGATATCTTAAATTCACTTTTGTAATGTTCCAAGAAACAATATTAATTTGCCTTGTTTTACTGATTCTGTAATATTGAATGCTTGAGAAACACGCCATCACAGATCGAAAAAGACGTAAGTAAATACCAACGTGTATATTTATACAGTAAGAATAAAGTCGTTAATCTACAAAGTTTGTTAGACCAGAAAAGTTAATGTTGATATTATTCTAAATCAATAGTTATTGTTTTTTTCTGTAATTAAGAAATCATAGGAAAGCCCTTGTCACATTCTGGTTCCAAGGGAATTCAAGGTGTAGGTGTGGGTAAGAGTGTGCACACAGAATAGCCAACTGTGCACTCACACTCACACCTACGCCAAAACTAACTCCCTTGAGCAGAAAATAGTGCTTTCGGCGAAACAAAGTTGCATTTCAATGGATTTTCAGACCAGCAATTGTTTTTTAATGCTTTTTGTGTGATTATATCAGGTTTTCCTTATTATTTCAGTGCCTTTGAAAACGATGTGATACTTGTAATCAGGGTAGAGTCAATATTCCTAATTACGACAGTAACAAATTCACTCTGATTGTTCAACTGCGTTAGCCGTCAATTTACTTTCGAATAAAAGTATATTTATATGTGCATGATCCTTGAAGTCTTCTCTTTCAAATGGCATGCTTTGAACTTCTCTCACTCATACAGGTCGCATTTGTCGTAATTTGGAACNAACCGAAATAGACTGCATTTTTTGTGAAAAACCTTATTTTCAATGTTTCTTCGATATCTTTCTTATTTCTCAACTAATCGTTGAAAACGCAGAACAAAAAATGATCAGCGCAAAAATCTCTACAAGATGAAAGTACTTCAAGAAAGATCCAATGATCTTCATGTAACGATGGGAGGAAGCTGGTGGAAACACCCATATATTTTTCTTTTTTTCAATAGTAGAAGGACTTTGGTGCATTTGTCGTAATTTGGAACAAAAAAAACTTACACTAAGAAATTGGCTCTTTACCGAACCCCCAAAGATGGTTCTGGTGATTTCTAAAAGCATCCAAAGGTGTCCAAAGTCTCAACAAAGGCGATAGAAACATCCGCGAGACCTTTAAAGATTTTTATCGTGTGCCCAAGACAAATACCTTTTCCTGTGAAGCCTTTTTTTGAGTTCCATAGAGCAGAAAAATATTTCGTATGGGAAATACTAAACCTTTAGAGTTTCATATTAAAACCAAATGGTTTCGTACTAAACTCTCATGATTTGGTAGAGTTTGGTACGAAATCATTTCCTGCTCTACGGAACTTAAAAAAGGCTTCGTAGAAAATGGTTGCTTAGATGTTTTTATCCGTTTTTTGAGACTTTCGACACGTTTCGATGGTTTGGAAATGTCTGGATCCTTTTTTGGGGGATCACTAAAGAACCGACTTTTTTAGAGTGATTTCTCGAGAACTTTATGAGTGAGAGAAGTTCAAAGCATGCCATTTCAAAGAGGAGACTTGAAGGATCATGCACATATAAATATACTTTTATTCGAAAGTCAGTTGACAAGGAACGCAGTTGAACAGTCAAAGTGAATTTTCTACTGTCGTAGTGAGGGATATTGACTCTACCCTGATTGTAAGTATCACATTGTTTTCTAAGGTACTGAAATAATAAGGAAAATCTGATACAATCACACAAAGCCTTAAAAAAGTGTTGCTGGCCTGAAAATCTATTGAAATGCAACTTGGTTTCGCTGGAAACAATATTTTCTACCCGAGGGACTTGTTGTGCCAACAAACACGTGATTCCTGTAAGATGAGATAAATAAGGGGGCTGAATAGATAACGGACGCCCATGTACAAGTCACAGATGTCCAAAGAAGTACGTCCCTCATGTAGGTCTGGAGTAAATAGGTGGTTATAGAAACCACTGGGCGTCCACTTAGAAGTCATAGAAGTAGGGAACAGATAGCTGTGACGTAATTGAACTTACAGTGGCGATGGACATTCTTGTATATGACAACTCATAATCGCCCATTGAACAATATGTAATCTATCCCTGTATCCTTTTCTCTCTCCATATCCATTTCTCGCGATACGTCTTTTCTCTATATATATCTTCTTCCTCGCTCTCTCTGTATCTCTCTCTCCTATCTATATTTTTCTTCTTCTGTCTCTCTCTCTCTCTCTCCTATATATTTTTTATGATTCTCTCTCTATTATATAAACTCGCGTTCTGTGAGCAATATAAAGGTAGTATAAGAGGAGTAATATTAGAGTAGTGCGCTGGGCAATTGAGTCGAGTTCAGTTCTAAACAAGTCTAGTTAGAAGAAAGTTATGCTTTGTAATACGTACGATTGTATTCGGTTGTATTGAAAGACAACACACAGAACTCTTTTTGGACAAGAATAAACTCATCGTGTGGAATTGTTGTTAATATTATACACACAGTGGCTAAAATATATAGTCGATACTGATCTACACTTTGTTGTCTATCATGCTATGAGGATATATACACAATTCCATATATCTCGATAGTTATTTGAAGAATATTTACGCGACTTAAATATTTTTCCGTTACACTTGGTTTTGGCGTAGGTGTGAGTGTACAGTTGGCTATTCTGTGTACACACTCTTACCGACACCCACACATTCAATTCCCTTGGAACCAGAATGTGACAAGAGGTTTCGTATGATTTCTTAATTACAGAAAAAAGACAATAACTATTGATTTAGAATAATAGTAACATTAACTTCTCTGGTCTAACAAACTTTGTAGATTAACGATTTTATTCTTACTGGATAAGTATACATGTTGGTATTTACTTATGTCATTTTTGATCTGTGATGGCGTGTTTCTCAAGCATCCAATATTACAAAAATCAGTAAATCAAGGCAAATTAATATTGTTTCTTGGAACATCACAAAAGTGAATTTAAGATATCGTGAATTTGAATCAATTCTTGTTCGAAAACGATCTTCTGTTAACAAAGATTAGACTGATCATCTTTACTGTTCAAAGAATAGCACTATCAATGTTAGTGCTGAGCAAGAAAACGTTATTCATAATGTGCATTATTTTGACTATTGTATTCATATTAGTGGCTTATGTCATATCTCGTTTCAACGAAAATAACTACTCAACATTTCAGTCACATATAATGAATGCTCTAGCCATTAATGAAACATTATCTTCTCATCGATATTTAAACATGGGTATATCATTGGAAGGAGATCATGACTGCAATTTAATAAACCGATCTCTCTGTTCTACAACAAAGAAAAGTTTAGTAGTGTCATTTTGGCGGGAAAGCTCGCGTGACAAATGGCTAGCGAAAAATATATTAAAATTGTTCGCTGAAGATCATTTTACTCGTATCATCATGGTGCACGATAATTCGAGTTGGTTATCGTTTCCTAATCGTGAACGATTGATATGGATACATGCCAACGCTCAAAAACGGTTCTGGTATTTGAAACGTTTTCTAACGCCACCGGTTCTGAAATCATATAACTATATTTGGGTGCTTGATGACGATGTAGAACTGTTATTTGATCCTCTGCATTATGAGTACGTTATCGCCCAACTGGACATTAGTTTATCGTCTCCAGGCCGAGCAAAAGGCAATATATCTCATCCCATTACACGCGTGAACAAAGATTTTGTCAGTAAGATCGGCCGATGGACAGATTTTGTCGAGATCGGTCCCATTTTTGTCGCAAGTTCAACCGCATGGGAATGTTTGTGGCATTATATGAGCCCTTTTGTGGGACTAGGCTGGGGATTTGATCTAGTTTGGTGTAAACTACTCGCCCATAAATGCTCATTGAATACAACCATTGAACAGTCGTGTGCAGTACTCGATATCTTCATTTCTAATCATCTATCGGAATACATCAGCTCAATTGCCGCAGGAAGTCAAGAACTTCCAGCTTACAAGTCATATTATAGCAACTTTCATACTAAAAAAAATAACATTGGACCACTGGTACATAATCTCAAAATTTATTTCTCGTATAACAAGACTAGGCAATAATATCTCTGATAGATTGAATTGACACATACAATAGTTTTGATTATTCTTGAACCTAGTTTCTCTTGAGGGTGTGGGTGTGGGATGGTTGTTCATGTAGTTGCCGATAAGAGTATAGGGTACACACACTGCATCCACATCCACACGCCTACTGTTACTTCTTCACTTTTTTCGAAATTAATTTGATAAAAACCAATTGATTTTCTATAATTAAAAATACGTTCATCAATTGATAAACTTGGCAGGATACAAATTTTTTATCAATTAAGATTCGAGTCTAGCTTCCAAGTCCAAGAAAACAGCATAAAACCGATGTAAACCCGTCAAAAAACGATGAAATAAAGTGAGAATGAATGCCTTATTATAAATCCCTCTCCTTAATAGAAGACCCGGGTCTTCTAATGCGTCCTTGTATGCCAACTTGCTAAGGGGGGTCTTCTAAACCGTCAGTTGCTAGAATCTTGTATGAAAGCAAAGGGCATTCTAGTTTTCATGCTTTATGATAATTTACTTTATTTTCGCTATATACGAACAAAATAAATATTACACACAAAATAAATATTATACATAGTATAAATATTACATACAAAAAACTGCTGCATTTTATTTTTTCCACATATTAAACAATGTTAGTTGTTTTGATCGCGTTGCTAATGACTGAGTGTGTTGTTGTTGCTGTTCTGATGCTTTATCAGCGACCACATCAATACGATCTTCTGTATCATTGTCACCAATTTCCGATTCATCATCGGAGCTGAATGTTAAATATTTTTTCATATCAATAATTTTGTTCTCTTCTTCATCCACATTTGACACGACTTCGATAGAATCATCATCTTCTGATTCACTTGATGAATTATCGAAATCATTATATCAATCAAAGGTAATAGATGTACTGCTGCTTCGTTTATCAACATGTTATTTTTATTTTCTATGATAAAAAACATACAATTTATACTTTTTCTTCTTCTTTCAGTCAAAAAGAACAACGAAAGTAATTTATTTCTCTTTTTTTCTTTCAGTCAGAAAGAACAGCAATGTTTATTTCTCTTTCTATTCTTTCATGAGTGAAAATGATGCGTATTGTTCTGTTTCTTCGTTCGACATTTTAACTTGCCTAGAATATCTTCCTCAGACAACGAAAGTAGAAAATTACGATGTTAAATATACTCTGATAACAAAAGAAAATTTATTCTTAAAAACGAAGACCCGGGTCTTGTAATACGGCTTTCAAACTTTTTGCTAAAGGGAGTCTTCTAATATGGTGAGGGGTTTATGGTTTTATAGGCATTGCCTCCATCCCTCCAGACACTCACATTCTTGCACCCTGCGATCATTGATAGGTGTTTTTCTATAAAATTCTCTCAACACTAACTCAGTTTATTGAAGAATGGTAGAATCAAATACGCCAATCGTCTCTATATTGTTTTTTTCCTAGAGTCTATACTACTTTCATATTAACACGTTTAAATAACAGAATTTCTAACAGTGTATCGGATTACGTTTTGTAATCAATTGAATATCTTGATATAAACACGTAAAGAAAACGATTGATAGAACGTGTTCAAAATATATGTCATGACTTTCTACAATATTTTCTCTTCAAATAAGGAGATACAAGAGCTTTGTTTTGTTCTTTACTAACAAGAAACAATAATTAGAGTCATTTTTGAATGCATGACACACATAATGCCGAATCAAATTGAACCCATTGAAGCTATCATTCCTCGAACCATAAAAGGCGAAGAAAATGTCTCAAAACGAAGCTATTTTAAATTAACATTTCACCAGTTACTCTCAATACTCATTACTGCAACCGTTCCAGTTGTCATTGGCATCTATACAGGTATTGCAACTTATCAACAAATAAAAGCGGCAGACGAACGGCGTGACTTTGATTTCAAACAAGCTACAGAATTACAACGGCAGCATCTCTACAACAATTTCATCAACGATATATATCAATTACATAAAGATGATGAACTAAATCATACACGAAGTCCATGGGCATTTGCCAATGCACGTTTTCGAGTTTTACACCGTCAAATAGATGCATTAAGGAAGGCATATATTTTAAAATTTCTCAAGGAAAAAGAACTTATAGGTCGAGGTCAATGTGGAAATGGATGTGAACCTAGGCTATTAGATGATATTATTCGTTTGAATGAATTGAATTTTGATGGTGTTCAATTATCAAGTGAAACTGGCACGTTAAACAAACTGAAGTTTCAATGCGTTAAATTTGATCATGCTTCACTTATTGGTGCAACCTTTGCAAATGTTGATTTGAGTGGAACTGCATTCGATCATTCACAATTGAATGGTGTTCAGTTTAATAATTCGTTGCTTGCTTGTGCTACGTTTAATGGATCACATTTGAATGGTACAGATTTTGCTGATTCAAATTTGGAAAGCGCAGTATTTGCTAATGTGAACTTGTCAACAGCTAAACTAACGCCACATCAGTTACGGCAGGCTAAATTTCTAAATGTGACGATGCCAAATGGAACAATGTCAAGTAACTGGACGGGAACATCTCCTATTACATCGATCAAAAGTACAGTTCGTAAGTGTTTTAGGAGTCACTTTCTAAGAAGTATGAAAAAAATCATTAATTTTTATTTCACAAATAGAAATATCAAGTACAATGGAAACAGGATTGGCAGGTGGTGATAGTTCAATGACTGCAGAATCAAACACGATATCCAAAAGTTAGAAACACTTCTTGCTGCCAGCTCATGAGTTTAATCTTACTGTTATTTTGTTCTCTTCTGCTTGATTTTAGGAACAATGTCGCCAAGTATGGAAATGACAAGCGCCAAAAGTGAGAGGAGTAAGTTCTTCAGGATATGGGTTTGGGTATAAGTAATATCTTGATTTATAATTACACACACCCTCAAAATGGTGGTATAGAAACTTGAAACAGATTCTAAACTAAAATACAAACATTACCACTGTACTCAGTGAGGCCGATTACCAATACCTTGATCCATTTTTAGCTTGGTGGGAAATTGTTTGGCCAATCTTATTTGACATACTGATGTTGCCCCCTTTCCTGTTTCTCGCTGACGTTGTCGTATGGTGGAAACCTCAACTCACTAAATTGTTTCCGTCGCGAGATATCGGAAAAAGAGTGATCGGTATTTTTTTTGGGTCCGATAATAATTCCTGATAAAACATGCGAACTCTGAAAATGTCCATAGTTTTCTGTACTAGCAATTTCTAACTTACAAATTGATAAATGATGTTTAATTTTCTCTTCATCATATAAGTATCGATTTCAACAACTACCGCGGCAACTACAACAACTTCTACGACAACAAGCACTATATCAACGACTCTTAAGGCAACAATAACGACAACTACAACAACAGCAACAACGACTACTACAGTAACAACTGTAAAAGCAACAACCACCAGAACAACAACAGAGACCATTATTAACGCAACAGCAGCTGCAAGTACAACAGCTACAGTCGAAAAAGCAACAAAAGTGTCCACCGCCACAGAAGTAGCATCAACCATAATAACAACAACGACTAGAACAACTGGCATAACAGCCGCACCCACGACCACCGTCACAATAGGAGGACCAGACACAAAAACAACAGCGACTACAAACATTACATTCCCAAGAGCAACAACAACCACCACATTAACAAGTAAGTTCGATCAGCATATGAGATCAAAGAGCATGTCGTTATCGGGGTTATATAGTAATTGTTTGGGTGCGGGTGCTATATGTGAAGAGTAAGTGTGTGATCACCAACACTCACATTCAAACCTACACCCGGAAATGACTGGAAATTCTAAGGATTCTGCTGTTTCTATCGTACTTCTATCATCTGAGACGGTCCAAGTAATTTCAGATAAGATTTGTGCTATCTGTTAATTGTCCCTGACAATATCAATGTTTTGTACGTACTGATTTATAGAAAAGAACTGTTTTATTGTAATTGACTCAAGTAACACGATACGTTGTGCTTGGTGGAAGGTGCAACTGTTCGACTCTTCTTCATTCACACCCACACCCACACTCTAGACCAGCAGTTGTCTCTTTTTGCTAGTTAATATCATTTCATTGTTTGCTCGACTTACGACAGAAAATGACATACATGAACGAAAGTTGCCTATATGACTTGAATAACGTTTTTTTCTTAATACATATGAAGAAAAAGAGAAAATAAGTTATCATCACAACTAAACAACATATAATTTATTATACAATCATTTAGCTTGTTGCATCAACAATGTGACAAAGCCATGCTGCAAACTAAAAGTTACTATTGTTGAAGGGCGTCGTCTCACAAGCGAAGACCCCATGGGTCAGAGTGACCCTTTTGTCGAAATTTATTTGCATAAGTCACACCAAAAACAAGAGGCAAATGTCGTCCAAAACAACAGGAATCCAGTATGGAATCAAACTTTTACATTCGATGTTCATCCGCAAGATGATTTAATCGTATTCGATGTCAAAGATAAAGATGTAAGCAATCACGACATGATCGGGACTGGTACAGTGGAACTGAAAAATGTTTTCGATGACGGAAAATTTGATGAATGGGTCACAATACATGTTGGTAGTAGTTCGACGGGCGACATTCACGTTAGAATGAGTATATAGGTTAGCTCTTTTTCTTATTATAAATCATCTCAAATAAGCCAATAATTTGATATATATATTTTAGTCCTCTTAAATGTCAACAGTCACTGAAATATACTATTTAAAGACTCCGCTTTCTTGTTTTGCTTAATTAATGCTTTTATTTTTGTAATTAAATCAAATCAAATAATAATTCAATACATTCATTGTCTTTTCTCTTTGTATTAAAAAGGTGGCTAATTGATCTTCTTCAAACATTATGTAGTAACTCTTTTGTGAGTTTTTTTTATCGATAGTAGTGATAAGAACGGGAAGCATACATAGAAAATCGAACTGAGGGTGTGAGTGTGGTAAGAGAAGACAAGCACCCACACCTACACCCTTATTGATTTTGTTATAATATTCGTCTTTAATCGTTATTAGTCAAATCGATTCTTTTTGTTCGTATTATAGAAAACTTTATAAAAAAAAAGAAAGAAACCAGTATTTTTATTTATCATAAAATAAAAACCTTTTTACTACAAAACTTTTTCTCCCTGGAAATTTTCTTTGCGACTTTGTAGATGATTTGAATCGATTATCTACATAATTCAAACATGTTTTATGATATTTGATGAACAAACAAGAATTGATTATCAATGATAGAGATCAATTCGTTTTCCCTTGTTAAATGACATCATTTTTTCTTTATTTTTACGAATAATAAAAAATAATATGTAATTTTCATCTATTACTAAATCTCTGGATGATTTCAATCTTTGTTATATGATCTGTGCATTTCTTTTTAATGAACTCACATTCAGTAATGATTATCTGCATCACAGTTGTAACTTCTAAAGATATCATTTGTATTTTTCTCTCTTGTTCAAGGATCATATGTCATCCTAATTTATAATTGTCGAAGTAATATTTAGATTTCCTATGTATTGTCTAATTCGCTAGCTATTCTTTATTTGCTAATGTGGAAAACGTCAAGTTTTGTTTTCACGGATAGAAATAGAAGTTTTAGTAGTTGAAGACAAGTAATTATCCACACTATTGAACACAAATGTTGGATATTCAGTTGCGAATTTAACTTTTAACAAGCCACCCACAAGTGGACGTGTTGCAGTTTGTTTCATTGTAGTTGAATTCACAGGCTCAATGCTCATGAACTCAGCACCAGGAAAATATGAAAGAGTTCGTCGAGCCAGTTCTACTCGGTTCATATAATCGGTGCTGGCCAGATGATAGATACCTGTCTTTTTGTCACTCAGCAAAACAAACATGGCTCGAGCAATATCATTTGCGTTAATGGGAGTTGCAAATTGATCGTAGGGAAGTTTCAAACAAATCGGTTGCTTCTGGTGACAATGTTGAATAATCCTAGCAACGAAATTTTTGCCACGTGCTTCATCGCCGTAGACATTAGTAACACGAAGAACCAAAGAATCGATCACAGAAGTACGTACAAGCTGTTCAGCGAGAAATTTGTGTTTTCCATAAACATTAATTGGATTTGGTGTGTCATTTTCTTGATAAGGACCAGAATTTCCATCGAATACATAATCCGTTGAGATATATACCACTCGAGCACCACATTTGATAGCGAGTTCACAGACGTGGCGAGTACTTTCAAGCGTATGTTCATAACTTTCTTTTTCATGGTTTTCACAGTAATCAACATTGGTCAGTGCCGCACAATGCACAATTACTTCAGGTCCGAAAGATACAACATCGAAGTTCTGATCATTGTGTGGTTGTAATGTATTGTAGTAACACGTAGTGTCCGTTGCAAAGTTACAATGAGAACCTTTAACTATCCAACCTTGTTCTTTAAAATGTGCCAGGCAGTGACTTCCAACAAGTCCTGAAGCACCGACAATAAAAACTTTCATTAAAATTAGTTTGATATATATTGAATATCAGCAACGTTGTAATGACAAAACTATCTAGAATAAGTATCAAATAGGTTAAGTATCGTCAATAAAAAGACAGGAATAGAACGTGTGAATTATACACTAATGGCAAGAAAAATATGAAAACTTTTGCTAATTTTTTTATAACTTTCCTTTGATACGCACTACAAATAAATGAGCAACGGGTTAAAACTTTGCCACGCGCAGTTCTCAGTGGTATGTTATCAAAACGACTATTTCTTTTCCAGTGAAAGTTTTTGTTTTTGAATACCCAAGTAAACGAAAAATGAAGGGAGACTGCAGGTATGACTAGTCAGAAATATTCACAGCATCCGTCAAGTCTAGTCTGAAATGCCCTTGACCCAGTCATATCTAGTCCGTTTTTTCTGTTGACCCAGTTCAGACTAGTAAGAAGATTGAAAAAGAGGTTACATAATGGATTTGTACATCCCACCCAACAGTGTTCGAAATATGATGGACATCCGGATGGCATACTTGGACAGTGCGATAGGTTGCCGTAAGTATATATAATCTAAAGTTATAGATTGACTTCCATCCATGAATAGAAAATTAGAAACAAGTCAGAGATGGGCAAGTCAGCCTTTTTTCCGACTCAAGACAAGTCAAGTCATTTTTTGAAAATTTCAAGTCAAGTCAAGTCAAGTCATGACTTGTTCAACATACTTTCAAGTCAAGTCAAGTCATTTTTTGAGAATTTCAAGTCAAGCCAAGTCAAGTCATAGTTCAGTCCAAGAAAATTCCAAGTCAAGTCAAGTCAAGTCAAAAATGACTTGACTTGCCCATCTCTGAAACAAGTCAACTTAAACGGTATTGATTAGTTTGAAATGTCTTCAACAGTTGATGTCGAAAACAAGAATATGAGATGAACATGAGCATGTAAGATTGAATTGAGGGTGAGGGAGACTTGCACTTCAATATACTCTCGTTTTCAGCATTTCTATTCATCTGCATGTGTATTCATTTTGTTTTCGATATTTTTCCTTTCTGCCTTTTTCCATCACACCGTTATCGCCATCGATTATTTGTTTAGCGTATTGTTTATGCGCAGTATAATTCAGGTCTTCAAGAAGTGAAGCAAGCTAGAAGGATGTATGAAATATGATTAAGGCGTGAAAACAAAAGGCACAGCTAGATTAAAATCGAAGGAAGATAAATACAAAATGATTGTTTCATTATTTGTTGTCTATGTTGAATATTAATTTTCTGTTTTGTACTTACTGGATCAAAATTATAGACCAACTCTACAACTAACGATTCTAAAAATGTATTCACATTTGAAACTTCATTTCTGACGTTGACTAGTCCATATTCCAACAATGGTTCATTCATATCCTTGAATATATTTTTTGTTTTAAATTTATTTTATTTAGATTCATTACCTGGACTTGTTCGTTTAATAGAACTTCGTCGATTGTAACATGTTGTTCAGTTAATGGATTCAATGGCTTTTCTTTTCGTTGACCGATAGATTGAGAAACATCAATATCAGGTACTACTGGTAGATATTTAACTGAAATATTTTCATAGATTGTCATTTCTTCGTCGATTGGAATTGTAAAATTACCAGGTTCATATATTCGTTCTTCTAAAGTATATTATGTCAATTCTTCAACTTCAGATTGATCTGCTGATGAAAGCGCTCGTGGAGATGCAACAGTAGGTAATGCATGTTGATAATTATATTGAGGACTTGGAAGGCGTTCAGTTTGATGTAGTTATTCATTAAAATGCTTTACTTCATGCTGATTTAATGTTACAATAGGTTGTATTGTAATGGTGGAGAGTATTTTTTCCACAGGTTCAGATTCAACATATTTCGCTTCGCAAATCTTATGTGTATAGATTTTTGTTTTTGGACGCGATGCATTTATAATCGGAGGATCGGATGAAATCACCTAAAGAATCAAGGAAAACATCTGTCTCAGAACGACTAATACGATTGTGTAGTGAAATTTTCATGCATAGAAATCATTAAAATAATACCTTCTGTGATGTTTGTAGTACGCTATCAGTAAGGCCATCGCTTTGATCTTGTTATCGACGTCTTTTCTTTCTATCAACGAAATCCGGTGGATCAACAGCTGTTAAAGTTGGAACTTCGTTTAGATCATTCACTTTAGATGTTAATGTTACATCTGTTTGCGATGTTGATGGCGTAAGAATAGATCTGCGGCGGTGAAATAATACCAACATGTTGAACAACATCCGTACTGCCATCATCAATGATTTGCTTTCAACATGTCGAACATTTTCTTGCATATTACGATTTAATTGCGAGAAATAAAAATCAGCGATTAAGTCACCTGGACGGTCCAGTAGCGAACGATTGACTGTTGATAGATAACGTGAAAGCTTTCGATGATGGGAGTTGCTTTTTCTTTGAGCTGTGTTATCTATATAGAAATGATTCACAAGTTGTTCATCATCATCATCAGACCATAGCGATGAAAATGCTTGAATATCAAGATCAATATCGGTATTAGAAATGTTTTTCGAATTTTGATGAGATTTTTCTCATTTGAATTGTGTCGCTCGAGCCAAACGACCAGCGATAGACGCATCAATACCAGCATCTCTTTCAAGTAATCATTTTGTTGAGTCAATGGTAATTTTAGAACTTGAACTATCAATTGATGTTTTAAATATTCATCTAAGATAATCCCCCATTTTTTGTTTTTGATTATCTTATTTTAACTATTCGAAAGACTTCTAGGACATCGGATTTAAACGATGCATTGTTTGATAGATTCTATCAAATTTTCTCATCAAAATAGGAGAGTCGCTCTCTACTTTTTGAATGAGTCAGGTGAATTTTCTATTTTTTCAAGCTATTTCACTTATTTTTCTTTCTAGACGAAGTCTCAGTCATTGATTGTTTTCAACGAAAACTTCTTATTATGCACTTTGAATATTTTTCCTTTCTAGCTTATTGGAAGAAAACTTATTTGGCAAATAAAATCGAGTTTTTCACGCTGTCTAGCTGCATGTTAATTATTTTCTTACCGATGTATATGATTTTCGATCAGTTTCGAAGCCTGTTGATTGTGTATCGAGATTTTCATTGAAACTTGCAACCATAAGTGGACTAAAGTTCGATGATGATACTGGTGATAATTGTCCGGTTGTCATCGACGATTGTTGTATACGTTGTTGTTTTTCTTGACCAATCGTTGCTTTCATTTTGTAAGCTTCTAATATCGATGGTGCATGAATATCTTGAATATCTTCTTATGTATATGAAAGCATTTGATTACGTGTATGTACATGTCGAGCACCTTCACGTCTCAAATCTTCTAAATATGATGTTGAAAAACATCGTATTAAATCAAAACTTAATTCTCATTGTAAGGTTTGATTTTCGTAGGAACGTAAATAGCGTCGAACATTTTGTTCGAAATATATCAAACGATTTTTATCGCTTTGATAATTACGATCGATTAAACTTTTATGTAGATTTTTTATTATTTGTGTATGAATACGATTTGTATTGACACTGGAATGTAATCGTTTTTGTTTATCGTCAATTTCTAATGAATCATCGCTAATTGGTTTATCTTTTTTTGCATAATATTGACTAATATAATTTAATGATGATGAGTTTGAAGACAGAAGTTTCATTGGTTGTTGTTGTTGTCGATATTTTTGATTGACTGATAAAACAAGACGATCAACGGATTTTTCGAATGATTCCGGTGATTGATTACGTCATTTTCCAGATAGAAGCGCTCGTGCTTCGTTTAAATATGATGGTGGTGACGGTGGTATTGATTCAAAACGAACACTAGGAGTTTTATCTGTACGTGATCGTTTGATTTTTGATAATGAACCATTTGTTGATGTCACTGTATCCAATCATCGTGATTTTCGAAATTCCGGGCCCAAACTTGCCGAATGCAATGACGAATCTGTAAAGCCATCTCTACTATTTTTTACATCGATTAAATTGATAGGGTGGTGCAACTTTCGAACGAACAAGTGTCGATGCGGTACTTGGATATTTGAGTGTGTCTGATGTTTTAGAAAATGTATGAGGTGTATCACATAGATATGTTGATATTCCTTCCATAAATGTAACTGAACGTTGTCCGAGATAACTATGCGATCTTGCATGTGGTAATGTTTTTCTTGAAGGTTTAATTGAATTATCTAATGGAAAATAATATCGATTGCAATCTGTTTAATATGATCGCGATTCCATTTGATTGGCTGGGAATTTGCAAATATTTTTATTTCTATATTGATCACCATTTACGGCAGAAAGTTTGTAACGTTTTCTTAAGAATGGTGGTGTTGTGTCTGATTTATGCTTTGATTTTTTATTCATAGTTGAACGTGAACAAAAGTAATAACGATCATTAATATGTGATGATGATGGAAGAAACGTTTTTGTTGACATTTTACTTTTTTCATTATTATTATTATAAATTTTATTGAAATGAGAAGTTAATCGTTGAGAATTTTTTCCTGGTTTATCGAATGCAAATTGATTTTCATTAATCGATGATGATGAAGTGTCGTTTGATATTGATTGATTATTATCATCCAAAGAGTTGTTGATCACCTAAAATCAAAAAGTCAAAGTTCTTTGCATTCTTTTCGTTTTCTAATAAGAATAAAGAACATCATAATTTGTCAAGATTGAACTAAAAAAAAAAGAATGTTCTTTTTTCGTATACATTAAAAGGAGTGTATGAAGAAAATTATTTGCCTTAACGGTACGTATACTTCAATGATCACCGTTTAAAATATGAATGCAAATGTTTGTATGCTGTCAGCTCTTGAAAGAAAATTTTCAATCGTCTATTTGCTTTTCTTTGCTTCAATGAAGGTAATCGTCTTGACTACCATGAATAAACAAATGCGAATAGTTGTCGACGCAGAAAAGAAAAAGAAACGAAAGAAGAAGTTTTAAATCTCACATAAACAAGTAATACGAATTAGCCCATATTGAGATATGTCCGGCAGCATGATCATGATCAGATAAGACAAATCAACAATATATTTGCATTCTTTCAATAATTCATAGAAAAAAAAGAAGCAAAAACTGTCTGTATTTTCGTTCAACTACAGAGAGTAAACCAACAAAAGCTACTGCAGCATTGTTCTGCTGTTCTTATGTTAAATAGTAAAAGCATCAATAACCTTTTCATAATCAACGCAGAACTCTCGTTCAATTGTTAGTAATGGTAAATCACTAGGCCTATTGTCGGACATACTGTTACGTGCAACATATTGTTTATAATTAATTTCAGCTATTTTGTGCCATTGAGTATTCCGATGACTCAAAAATCCTTGTTTAGAACCGAAAGCATTTTTCAACTGCTGAAACCTCGTACCAACGCATCATTTTGATTTTAAACATGAGTTAGAAAGAAAACAAATTGTGTTGCATCACGACATGTGCAAAAAAAAGTGAGCCTTCAAAAAGAAATCTACGTCTTAGACAAAAATTATTTTGCTCAATGATTTAAGATTATTCCAGTACTAAAGTGTCAGCAATAATAACAGTCAGTTGAATCTGTTAATTCAGATTATTCTAGTCAAGTAAAATATGAATACCATTGACTACGAAAAGATCTTTTATCTTTGCTTGATGGATAAGAAGGACGTATTGCTTTTGCTGGTAACTCACCAGCTGAACGAGTGATATCAGTAATATAAGATATTGATGCATTTGACGATGAAGACAACAATAGAGAAGATTCTGATAAAGGCGAAGGAGTTTGTTCTTGTTGCTTATTAGTTGATGAATATGATGAAATCGGTTTTTGTTGTTCACCTATAGGCTATGATGCAGTAATCTCACCTGTTTGAATGACTATTAACTCACATAAGCTTAAAGAAACAGCATATTTCTGTTTTTTGGTCGTTTTGTGAACTAAAAAATGATTCGATAGTTCCACGTTTAGACTTTTTAGAATTGTTTTCCATTTCAAAGTCCGTGTGAGATCTTTATGCTGCTTAGATTTGGGTGTGGGTGGGTGTGTATTCATCACCACAATGTAATCACTATATATAGTGTGGTAACAAGAGGGCAAATACCCATACATAAAGAATAGAGAACAAAACGCAGAACGTCACAGAGACAATATTTCTTAGCATAAACTGCAACTGCATAAGATCATCTTATTAAGATGTGAGGCAGAGCATGACAATCAGACATTCTGCTTTTTAATGCACTACTCATATAGTAATCAATTACTTATTTTGTTATGTGATATATATACAAAAATTAAAAATAAGCAAGCAACTGATATAGTTCTTTAATTAATGCCTAGAGTTTATTCGATTGATGTCACTTACTAATTGTTTCTTTTTCCAGAGCTATCGCAACGTATATACAACAATAAACTACAAACATTCCAAGGGGTAAAGAGCGGAATCCGGGTATTCCGTGAGAATCCATAGGAATCCATTAGCATTAGGATCCTTGGAATCGGTAGGAATCCATTAAAATCCTTAGAATCAGTATATAGGAATTCATGAAAATAAATAGGAATCCACGAAATTCTTAGCCTTGAAGCACTTACATATACTGCTATTTTTAAAGATTTTTTTACAAATAAATCAATGATTCATAGAATTATCTGATAGTATCTTTCAAAATTCCATCATTTCGAATTTATTGTTTTCAAACCTTGAAGTTATAAATTTATCTCTAGACAATATTTATTTTCGTTTATGACCAATAAGCATTTGACAGACTAGAATTTGATTAATGTATATTAAAATGCAAATAAAAAAGAGATGAATATCGACATATTAAAAAGATTCAATAATAGAAGGAGGATTGACGTTAAGGCCACTCCTGCTTAGACACAATGTCATCCATGTAAAAATAGTAAAAAGAAAAAAAAACGAAAATATGAATTCTTTAAAAAAAGTTTATCCTTTAAATATAAACATAAAAACAGTACACATTAAATATGCAAAGAAAAGAAACATATACGTGAATTAAAAACAGATAAAAATATTTCATCTTTTATGTCTTTTTGCTGAGGATTGTTGTGAACTTGCTGCTCTTGAATTAGATGAATTACGCTTTGCACTATTCGTCGTTGACAATACTATTATATCTGTTTGATGTCGCTGGGATGTTGAGGTATTTGTTGGGATCTCGGATAATGGTTTCTGTATCAAGAGTTACGGAAAGAAGTTAAATTGAATAAAAAAACGTTCCAAAAATTCTTAAAAATTGAAACAACAATTGTATGTGGTAATTGATATAGAAAGTATCAAAATTTATTCATAAATAGAAGTATCACATTAGTGCAATTCTGCACTTATGCCTCTGATAAAAATAAGTTGATCTCAATGTATTAACGAATAAAGAAGCAGACTGGCTCGATCATAATGCTTCTGACTGGAGAGTAATGCAATTTTATGAACTGTAAACCAGCAAACGTAAATAACGACGTCATTAAATATACATATGTCAGCAATCATACACAAAATAGAATGCAGAAAAAAGAACACGAGGTATCAATGTAAAAATTTGTTTTGACGTAAATTTCGTTTTTGGACAGTTTCCGAAGTTATTGAAAAACTTGATTAAGTTCTATGAAATAAGATAAAGTCTTATATACCAAAAGAATCCTGGGAATCTGGAGGAATCCAACAAAATCCATCAGAATTCCTGGAAATCCTTGGAATCTGTGGGAATTCCTGGGAATCCTTGAAATCCGTGAGAATCCTTGGAATCCACGGTAATACTGGATTCCAGGATTCCGCTCTTTCCCCCTTGAAACATTCTAATAGTGCTTATTAATTTTTTCTTTTGACCGGTGCCCTGACGACGCCAGGGCTAGCCCACGCCCAGCTACGCCACTAATGAAATGCTAGAAGTAAGTGCCGGAATGAATACAATCAAGGATGATTGTAGTCAATATTTTTCCTGTTCCTTCAGTATGTATAAATCTTCTAGTGTTCGAAGAAATCAAATCTAAATTTTATAGTCATCATGTATGTAGATCCATGTATATTTACTACTGTTTCTTTTTCATTTTCGCCTTTTTTCCTTCTCTCATATCAATAGAAAACCTTGCCACAAAAGTTCCATAAGTAATATGTGTTTTTATTTTTGTCAGCTACTTGATCATAATAAAAAAAACGAAAAACCAAAGTGAAAAGAATTTCAGACATTATGACGAGAAAAAACGATTACTATATATTTATATATCTTACAATATTTACTGATTAGATTCTTGTTCCTTGTTTAGATTTAGTCAATACTGTCGAGATTTAATCGCGTCTTATTACAGGTTTATATCAAGCAAAGTTAATAGGAAAAAAGAAGCTACATATCATATACTTCGTCTAAAGATTGAATAAAAATTTTAAAAATCGGATTGAATTCTGTAAAACGTGAACTTGTGCATTTAAATCGATGCTACTCAAGTAAAATTTCAAAACAAATAATTTGCTCTTATCAAATTCGACTATTGTCTTACAGTATGTTTTTCTTCATCTGAAGTTATCGTTTTCTTCTTAAGATTTAATTTATTGTCCTAAATATTTCACTAACATTGGGCAACACTTACATTGAACACTTGAGATCTGTCTGTTCCTTTTGTATTCTGTTCATTGATATACAGAAGGATGATAAAAATAAAAATATGATTGAAATTTTCTTCTCTTACGTTATTCTTTGCAAATTAAATCGAATAATAATGAAGTCATATTTACCTGTCGGTTGCGTTCTCTTTAAATGTGAATATAATAAAAAAATTGATATGAACAATGAATATGAGAAATAGTCAATTTGATTTATTGGTCTCAACTGCTTCTCATGTATACTTACAAAAGAGAAGACGAAGCGAAAATGTATGCATACAGATATTATCCAGAAGTAACTAGATTGTTGAAACTTTCGAGTTGGTTGTATATATCATTTTTTTAACCTGTAGGAGGACGTGTGTTTGTACATAAGGAAAGGACTAACCTGTACTGCGAAAAGGGGGGGGGGGGGGGGGGGGGGGGGGGGGGGGGGGGGGGGGGGGGGGGGGGGGNCCGTCACCCCCCAAAAACCCCCCCCCCCCCCGTTATGCAACCCCAACCACTTACAGTCGTAGTCTTCCATTTGATTGGCTAGTTCTGTAGATAATGATCATAATTACTTATAGTTATTTTAAAAAACATTTTTTTCCTTTTTCCTTGCTTCTAACGGGTGGTGCGAAAGTTTTTGGACAAAATGTTCGTTGATTTTCTGACCACCTGCGAGAGTCAGCGGAATTTGTAAAACATTGCGTTAGAATTAGCATTTTCTGCTCTCTTAGAATTTCTGTTCAAAAATTTTATCGGATATTCAGAGTAGAAATTGTGCTTAAATTGTTGAAAGATCCAAAAAAGGCTTTGGACAAAACTACGGATATTAACGAATCTAGAGACGGAATATTCGATCGTGCCCGATGTGAAATTGATTATATGATATTTTTGGTTTTTCTGTCTCAACATTCCCTTATCTTCTACTTAAATACAGCAAGCATAACCTGGTCCCAGGTTCTCGTGCTAGGTCACATCGAAGTTGGGAGCTTTTGTTTTAATCAATACATAGGTTTATAAGTTCTCCCCAGTGGGAAGTGCCTTATTGAATATTATCTACTGATTGTTTTCGACGCTATAAATAGCAAGATAGTCTCCTACAAAATGAACTTACAATTGACTGTCTCCCGCTAGTTTTACAGAAATTATGTAACAAGTTCTAACATGTGAAAAGCCAATAAGCTTTGAAAATATAATTGAATCTGCTAGTAGGACTCTTACTATTCTAAGAAGCCTCAAAGACAACCTTTTATTAGAACACAGATTCTGAGAGAGCGCAAGGTGCTAATCCTAACACGGTGTTTTACAAACTCGGCTGACCCTTACAACGTGATCTGAACGAGATTCCAACAAACTAGATAATCAACATAGTATGCGAAGTATAATTGTAAACAATATCAAAGTATTAATTTCCATTTTCTGGGTGTGGGTGTATGACGTCTCTATTAGGACACCCACACCCACACCCACATCCTCAAATTATGAAGCCAATAGAAATTATCGGTAATTTCCCCTGTTTATACACGAATTTTCTCTTCATTTTATGTTTATCGAAATGTCCACAACAACAATATCTGATATTCAATTGTAAGTCCAATAGAATAAATTACTTCATGCTTATTTTTATCATGATTTTAAGGAAAACCGAGTAGATACTGTTTTTGTTTTGTTCG